GCTGATGGTATCGGTCCAGCAAAAAATTATTTATAAATACTTGTACCTCTTTCACGATAGTTGTAGTAGTTCTCCAGGTTGTAGCTTCGTACAGTAGAACAGTTTCAATGTCCCCCTAAATGCAGTCAGATTACCATACTCATATTGTGAAATGATACGAACTCCATACTGGTAAACACCACTTGAAAATGAGAAATTATAAACAATAGTCAGAAAAGTTCTGGTATCCCAAATTTAAATATTTAATTAACCCAACTGCATGATGTAACTTGAGTCTGGTTTCGAGAACCTTCGGTTTTCGTCAAAATTGTTGGCATATTAGTGTCCAGATCACTGATCATAATAGATTTCTCAACACTGAAATTGAATTTCGATAGTGATTTATATCAGCAGCAGAATTCGAATAAATCATGATGCAAATTAGAATTATTTCTAATCACTATTTGTGTAGTTAGTTCTACATAAAAACGGAATCCATAAGTGACAAATGTCTATAATTCAAATATAATGAATGTCTGATATTTCTCGAAATCAACAGAGAATGTTTTATACTAGTACATTTGTCTAGTTAGATTTACATAACTATAACGATTTATTCTGTAATAAATGTACTGAAGATTATCAACATCCTAGATTTTGGTGATCATAAAACTGACACTCTGATCGAATCGTTTCACATGACATAAATAAAAATATAACAGGATAAATTTGCAGATGACTGTTAATGCTGAATGACATCAGTTGGAGAATCCTGTACTAATGAGTGACTGATATTGAGATGGATACCAGAAGTCTTATCAAGAAGTTGTGTTTAGTGGAATTCAATTATGTAACGTGTGATGTAGTTACTGACTAATAGTATTGGATGACAGTTGTTTCTGACCAGTTTGAGACTCCTCAACAGTGAGTATTTGACATTATATTTGATTGAAACAGTGTAAATCGCATATCTATATGGCCCGATGAAACCAGAAAAGTTCGAAAAATTGCTAATGATTTACAGTAGAGTAAATAAATATTTATTTTAATAGTTGGTTTTCAATATATATATACTAATAGTGAATAATGTTAAATTCATCATTACTGTGCTTGTCAATACGAGTACTTTAACAACAGGAATAGACATGTTCTGTGATATTGAATAAGGGTTCTATGGCATTCGACAGCACATGATGTTCGAAATTTCAAAATCATCTGTACATGCAATTTCATTGGATTTGTCATGAACTATATATCTTTACATTGCGGAAATCATGAAACTGAATCACGAGACAAACGCTCATCCAGAATCCTGGAGGGAAGCGAAAAAGAGGAAGACTAAAGAACACACTAAATCGCATGTGAAAAAAACTGGATGGTATTTACCGGGATAGAGTCTGATGTAGAACGTTGGTTGTCGGCCTATATTCCTCCATGAGAAGTAACTGGCGTGAGTAAGTACATAACTAAGCAACAAAAGTGCTCTTTATAAGTTAATGTTTGAGGTATAACTAATTGTTAATGAGAGGTCAACAATTTCTCGACTGTACACAAATTAAAATTAATTTTTCTCAAATACTGTGTGTTGAGAATATGCATTATTGCGAAGTTTGAAACTGAGATAAAACAATCATTATAAGGAGATGATGTATGAAACGAACATACGTGGTTCTAGTCTCGAAGTGAACTTCAACTCTGTGATGCAGCACATCCAGCTGACGAGTCCCAGGTGGGACGAAACGCGCGTCCAGGATTCCACTGATAGCCACCATGCATCTCTGCTTATAATACTTGTGGCTCAAGCCAATATCGAAGCTATCCGTATAGGTTGCACATATTCCAATAAGAGATTGATCAATTGCAGTCTCAAGCATCAATAGGATGATTCAAACAACTAATACAAGAGTGGATTATTCAGTACTCCTGAATTCCAATTGTTCTCCTACTATTCACTTCAAATCCATGACCATTTGGTTGAAATTTAAGTGAATTAATCGTGATTAATTAATTTGAAGGGCTTTCAGAAACGTGGATGTTCAGACATTGTTGACTTCGTGTAAAATGTTGGTTATACCAAAACCTAAATATTGGATACAAACAACCAACTCCTGTCTAAAATAAATGATGTACGTATAATATATAAGAACTCTCGTCTAAATTAGAACGAATAGTTTCACAGTATTTGAGCGCCGAGTTGAAGTAAGACATTAAATAGGAATAATATATTTGTAAAATCTCAGCGAATGAATTTTTTAAATTAAATCCAACGTTTGATGTTTGATTATAATTCCTTGAAAAAGCTTGGACCAGATTGCCAGGCGAAACGTTGGATTTAATTTAAAAAATTCATTCGCTGAGATTTTCAAATATATTATTCCTATTTAATATATGATGTACGGTTGCAAAAAATAGTTTACAAAACCATAAATAATTCGAGTTTTGGAATCCTAAAGCTGCTGTACGATGACGGACTGGCTAGAATAAACAAATTCTCCTTGTAATATTACTTGAGGGATTTTAATTGATCAAAACAATTGAGTAATTGTGAGTTGTGCAACATCCACACACAAGACTGAACAAAATTGGTTCACTAACTTCCGGTTCTTCCCAATCATTTATTCTCTAAATCATTTAACAGTTTCTTCATTGATATTATTATTATTATTATTAATAGCTTTATTCATTATTATAATCTGGTACAATATAGAATTCTCAGCACGAGTTATTTCAACAAGTTTTTTACCAAAAGAAAAACAAACAAAAAAAACAGAAAAGGAATGAAAAAGGTTTAAGAAAAACTCAGTTTATACAAATTATCAAATTTGAAACATGCTTAAGAAGACAGGTTATTTACTAGGTCAACTCTAACAACCTGTTCGTCACAAAGTAAATTTACTAAGTAAGGTATTACAGAACTTTTATAGACTTGCTTGCGTGCATGGATTTTAATATATTTACTTCTCGTTCTACCAGAAGATATACAAGGAGAAAGATATGAATAAAGCGGATGGTTAGTATCTGATAAGATAACACCTACCAAGAGTTTGCAAGACTTAAGATGTCTATCCACAAGCATATTAACAATGACTTCAAAAGATTCACCACATACCTTGCAAACCGCCTTCGACACTCTACGCAAAACAGCAAAGTCTTTTCTCAAAAGCCCAGGAAAGAATAATGGAGAACAATATAGAATAATAGGTAATATGCAGGAATTTACAAATTGTAAGAGTAAATGGCGAGTAATTCCAAAAGTATGCAGCTTCTTTATGTAGTATGTCAAACGGCAAACTTTTTTCGATAAGAGTAAAACATGAGAAGACCAAGAAAAATCAGAGGAAAAAATGACACCATGATATTTGACCTTCGACACTGTGTTTATTAAGGAGTCTCCAATGGCACAAGCATTATGGGATCCCAAAATAGAGTGTAGGTTCTGTCCATGTCTCAAGCTAAAATTAACAACTTGACATTTAGATGGATTGAGTAAGAGACCATTACCAACAGACCACCTTTCAATACGAGATAAAAACTCATTCATTTCTATGGGATGTAAAGAGGTAGAAATCGGCATACATACAGTGAGGTCATCCGAATATTTTACGAAAGTGTTTTCTGTGGAAGATGGCAGATCATGCAGAAAAAAGAGAAGAGCAAAGGTGAAAGAACAGCTCCTTGTGGCACACCTACATTAGACAGTAGAGATGTTGAACACTTTCCTTCAAATACAGTGTACTGTTCTCTTCCAGAAAAGTAGGAATATAGCCAATTGGTTATCCAGCTGTCAGTGTCGACGCTGATCAGCTTGTTAAGTAAGAGGTGTCGTGGAATAAAATCAAAAGCAGACCACAATTAATACCGTATGTAACTAGGCACCATTTATTACCTGAGTAAAAGTTTATTCACTGAATTTTATATCAGATCCACCATTTTTGCTTCGCATTAGATAATGTAGTACACGGTAAGACAGTCAGTATTACACCACTAAGAGTACAGAATCTTGAATTCGGATACATCTTGTTTTCTTTGGTTTGCTGACTTCATTTATTGTATTTCCAGTGTTATTTCAACTCATCTATCCAAAATCCTTTCATTTTTTTCAATGAAAAATAACTTATACTATTAAGATAGTGGATTAGTGAAGATTTTGTTCACAGCTTGAGACTAGGACTTCATCGCAAACTGATATCGACTGAGAATCACATTAAACCTGGATTAAGGAAACACTAATCGCTTTTTCGTCTTATTGAATATGTCTTCCACGAGATTATGCATTAGCTTTACTGAACAGTTTCAGGCTAAAATGCAACAACTACTCAATGTCCATTGGCTTCTAGCGATAAACTAGATGATATCAGTCTGTAGGAACATGAGGCTTGATGATGGCGGATATTTCATGCTAAAAAATACTAACACTTTCTTGAATAACTCCCACCTATTCTTCAACCCCCTCTCTCTGGAGATATAGATGAAAATATCGAGGCAATCAAATATACCATGCTTTGAATTGTGCGACATTAGAAAAGAAATCATTGACAAGGGATTTCCTAAGTGATTACTTAATTATTTTGCATCTGTCCTTTTACTAGGTGATCATTAAAAGTTGATTTGGTGGTAAATTTTGACTTACGTAACCACCGGTGATGATAAATCTACTCTGAGTGTTTGTCAAGACACTTCAACATCAAATTCGAAATAGATTGTGAAAAGAGGATTTTGATTGCCAGATTAATGTGACACACGTCTTAATGTATATATATTATCAACCACACACCTTGTATTTTTATCATGGTTACCATCGTATAACTGTACAAGTTTCTTAAACACCATCTGAACAATACACATACAACTAAATATGTACACTTGGTGATGCATGTATAATATTTTATTTTTCCTAATCATTCATTGGTCAATTTGTTATTCAACTACAAAATAAAATTAATCTGAGTGGGCGATGCAAACACAAAAATCTTATTCATCATCGTAATTATGATAAATATTATTCATCATTCAATTCATTTACACTTGATGTTTACAATGGTACTTGTTTCATGTGCATTAACAGTGAAACCTGAACAAATTGCTTGTCATTAATTATGAAGGTGCTTTTTTATGGTCACATGAAATTGACCAGTTGTTGTTAAACACATGAAAACTACATTCGGGTTTTTAATTATTTCTTAAATTTAACCGATGCATTTATGCAATTCTAATTCATTACACTTGGATATTATTTGGATTAAAGCTGAAGTACATATATTTTTGCATTCACTTTACTCGTCCACATCATCAAAATCAATATTGTTGTCATCTTCTTTGTCATTGCTTACATCATCATCATCATCATCATTTGTATCCTCATCCACATATATTTTTTAAGCTATTTTCGTTACCGAGACCATTAGTACGGTTCAGCGATATTCTCGTGACAAATTATTTAGAATTTTACGTGATATGTATTAAATGTCTACTAAGACTATGTTTAATCCGATACAGGACTATTATCACAAATAAGGATGTCATTAATTACCGATATTTCAAAAACAACCATAGAATCCAGTTGTCATCAAGACAACGTACTCACTTTCATAAATATTTATCATGGTATAGAGGGATAAAAACTGTTTCTGATCACTTGAATTCCTCCAAAAATATGAATTATGAAACAACTGTTTCTGACACTGTTCATAATGAATGTATAAATGCTGAATGCGATCCTAGGAAACATTTCCGAAGTTATTCATATCGAACAATCAGTTCCGAAAGTAGTTCTCATCGATTCGAATATACCTTAAAATATTATGCTATATTTTTGTACATATTATTCACTTTATTCAATGTACAATGTATCAATGGTAAACCTACTTCATTGTCTATAAATGGAACTTTTGCCGAAACCTCTTCATCAATTTACTCTACCAACTTGTCATCATCAGTAATATTGCCAAACTCATCCTTGTCTCCACCCTCACTAATAATATCATCCAATCACACAATAGAAGCATCAAGTGTAGATGATTTAATGATACAGTATTTAGATTTATCAACTTTCCAAACATCAAGTTCTACTCATTCAAATCGTAAAATACCAATAACAAATGTGTTTATGCGTTCACATAGATCTAGACGTAGTTTGTCATTTTATATGTCTAATTTAGATACTTCACCATTGTTTTTAACTCCATTTGCACAAAATCATCCGACGAAAGCAAGATTTTTAAGTATCGATAACAATGGAACTATTAAACTAGTTAGATCATTTAAAGATACATCTGGTAAGTTATTGCAATGTTATCATACTATTTCTGAGTTACTAGTAACGACTTGACCGATAGTTTGTCGTACTAATCAGTCCCTCGTTAATCATTATTAACTATTCAGTGAATAATTTCAAACTGCTTTTCCAATACTCTCTTGGACTAAACTGCATAGTTTCGTTTTCAATTGGTGTCAGTCCTCAATGTAACTCAGTCATCAAGCGGGTATAATGTTGTCACATCTGAGTTACAGATTTTGTGTGGGAACTAGTCAAACTATGCAACTGCACATATCTGTAAGGATGTAAATAATTGTTAAGTGTTGTTGTAACTATGCAGTCGTTCCAGTTTAATTAGGTCTATCGGATAGTATTTATATCCGAGCATTTTCTTAACGTAAATGATGCCATCCTTGAGACTTCCGGTAATTGTGTTTTCAACCAAGGATTTCTACAGCTTAGACATGTCCAATCATTTTGCGAAATATCGTATGGTTATATAATAAATTTGTTCACAGTTCAGTGTTGAGTACTTAATATCCTCATGATGAATTATCAGTTTCATATGTACAGTGTTTCCATTGCATATTAGATATATGTACTAGGTAGTGTGTTTTAGACAAGTTGTATTTTGTTCTGCATTCATCAACTCTAACATGATTGTTTTGTTGTGACTAACAACAGACATGGTATAAAATAACCAATCACTATGATGTCTCTTCTTGAAGGTTGTTGTTATTTATACCATGGTGATGGATTGTTAGCAGTTATGAAAACACCCGAATTAAGAAATAATAACAATATTTAACTTACTTAGTATTGTTTGTTTGGATCTTCCCATCGATGTGTTTAGGACTGCAACTGGTCAGTCTCTAATTGGCATATGTGCATACTGTGCGTATTGCCTCGATATACCTTAATTCACAAGCATGGTAAGCAGAGATGGATAGTGGCTAGCAGTGGAATCCAGGACGCGCGTTTCATCCTATTTGGGACTCGTCAGCTGGATGTACCTGCATCTCAGAGTTGATGTTCACTCTGGGACTCGAACCCAGTACCCTCGCTTCAAACGCCACCGCGTTATCCACTCGGCCACTGAGTCCTGATAGCCACTTGCTTGTGCGATGGGGTGAAGTTTGAATTCACTTAGTATTGTTTGTTTGAATCTTCCCATCGATGTGTTTAGGACTGCAACTGGTCAGTCTCTATTTAACTTATATATCAAGTAAAGCACCAATGATACTGGCGGACAGATCGTTAACAAATTCCCCACTAAACCTTAACGCATATATAAATATGAACAAATGAATAGTTTCATTCGTTTTAGTTACGTATGAATCACAAGAGAATTTCCCTTTCTTCTCATTCATAAGAGTTATTTTTCAAGTAAAAATTGTCTATCGCTCTGCTAGTATTACGTGTATATTACATTTTGTGGGATTTCGTACTACAATTGACTACAAGTAACTATGAAGGAATCATAAATTACAAGTCTATACAGTTAGGGAAAATGAAAATACAAGTTTTACGATAGACGTTACAATATTCCGGGTGAATGAACAGAGTATTTATCGTAAAACAAAAATCTCCTAACTAGTTCACAGTTAAATTAATTCATACAAGTTCCTTTTGTTTCGCTTAAATGTTACGTACATATTTCAAGTCTATCCTCAACACCTGTTTATTCGATAGAACTTATTCGAGTAAAATGAACATGTGTTCTTGTACACAACAGTGAATTGCAGTTCGGTTGTTCATACGCTTTTAAATTATGTAATTTGTACTCTGGATTATCATGAAGTTAAGTGAGTCATATTTATGAAGTACGATTTGTCCTACAAAGAGCACAGTTCAAACCTCATATTGAGTTCTTACTTATTAGAGCATCTATCAAGTGAAGTTAGGCAGTAAACCATTGAAAACAGTTTCATTCTAGTTGTGAACTCTTCGACAGTGTGTTTCCGTAGACCCATGTGAAGTTGGACTCATGATATTTACAATTCCATGACGAAATCTCCATTCAAATTGAAGTATAATACCATTGAACAGTAATCAGTAGATGTTTAAATAATGTGTACTCAGTTATTTAACTAACGTTTTATTGAAAGGAAACAGAATTTCATCACAGATGATGTTTTCACACTCGCACTCACACTCACCCACATACCATTACGTCATCCTTATTTAAATTGCATCAATAATAATGAAAACAAACCGTTTACATGTCAGCACATACACAAACAAACAGAACATCGTTAAGAAAACGAACAGATAACTTATTTTACTACATGACAGTCCCAAAATAAATCCACAACTCAAGTGTTGTAGCGATAAAGAGAAATTCAAGGTCGTTGTATTTTCATGTGAAGACACAGACGGGAACGAGAACAAATTAATCAACCGACATTTCATTGCTCTACTCTGCCAAGTCAGAATCATTTGTCTTTGTATTAAGGTAGTCACACTTAAACCTTTTAAGTATTTGCGATAGCCACTTTTGACAGTTTAAACTTTTCCACTCTCCCCATATTTTCACGAACATTAATAAGCGCTTTCGAATCAAACTGCATTTCTGAGGTCTGCACCAAAGTATGAATTATGCATGCTGAATACTTTGTTTTTATTGAATTAGGTGTATATCTTAATTGATGTTACTAATAACATTTGAACACAACCACTCATGTGGTAATAGTGTTCACTTCTACTGAAAAGATAATCATCTTATGAAGTTGGACTACTTAATTTCAATCTGAGTGATAATTTCCTAATATTGGAAGGTTGTATAAACTAAACGTATCTAGGACCTTGAGGGAACCAGTGGTTTTCATCATGTTCTTTATTAACAAACATCATAGTCAGAGACACAACCACGATCGACTCCTCCTTAGGACTAGGATGATAACACTTATGATCACTAAACTGTAACTAATATAATGTTCACGTAACTTGTCTCCAGATCATCATGTTCACCAAAACTAATCACTCAGAAACAAATATTTTCCATATGCATGTTGAATCACTGATATTAGGGGTTACATCACAACTTGATCAGCAGAATTCATGAAGCACTAATAGACCAGACAAAAATGATATTGGTTTACTACTCACTGACAATATTCACATGAGTCTGAACATTAAACAATGAAGAAAGGTACTTTTCATTAATTCTTCATCGTTCTAAACCTTTTTTGATCACATTTCAATTGACTGGCTTGACCTTTCTCTTATTTTTCACATTAACAAAATTGAGTGAGTGTAGCAAGGTTGTTCAAAAGTCAGTAGACCGAATAAATTATCACATGCTTCCTATACTAAACATTCTGTTTCACCAATGTACTATTTCGAAAAATATAAAACAGGTAGAGATGTGAGAAAAGTGCGATCATTCGAATGACCATCAATATGAGACATGATTGTGAGTCATTTGGGAATGAATTCATTGGATTAGTGATTCTTTCTGTTCATGCATGACTAACTTGGTTAAAATGTGTGTGTTTTTCAACAAGATTCTCATTTAGTGTCACCTTGGTCTAGCCTATTTTATCTATAGTTTCCAACACAATTAATACATGTAAATGGTCGACAACTAAGATGAAAACACGTTTCAGTGTTTTCAATAGGTTACTGATTTGATTTTAATCTGTGATGGAAAACTACCAAACCTATCTGTGTAATTATCCGTCAAAATCCCTCAGTTAAACATGTGTATTTTCGTAAAAGTATGTACATATACTTGCATAAAGTTATCACTGTGTAGTGATGAATGTCATGTTTGTTTAGTCCTTTAGTGCTGACTTAACATAGCGTGCATCCCATTTTGATGTAAGGTGGTTGGAGGTAGTCGACAGAAAGCCATGACCCAGGTTTCTGTCTTGTTGGCACTCATCAGAGGAGCGTGCCCACAATCTTTTGGGGACTGACGCTCTCTCAGTTCTACAGGAGGCCAGTAGCCTCTATTAGCTCAGTGGTAAGGTGTCAGATTATGAGGTTGGGTGGCTCGGTTTCGAATTACACAGCTAGCGTGAGCTATCTCAAGATTGTGGATACACCTTGATGACGACATACGGAAATCCCGGGTCCAAGACTCTCTGACAACTATCTCCAACCACATCGGATATATATTTGTGCTCGAACAATGTGTTCCTTGGGAATTTATTCCCAACTTCGTAACACATAAGTAGCCTGACGAGTTTCAAATGATCCTCAGATGTTTACTCATAAATTACACAAACATTTACTGTAATAGTGCAGTGCATAGTGTGATAGTATGGAATTTCATTCTCGATAAAATATAAATATCACTTGATTATCTCATTTGATTAGTTGGTGGTGGTGTAATATAGAAACGTTTTAAACAAACTTCACTAATCTGCATGGTGGGTAAATAGTATATTTAATGTACAAGTAATTGCCATAGAGGCATTCCTATGATAGCTGAATGAGTTGACTTCTCTATTTAGATATGATGAAATGTATACTTGAAAATTGTTCGTAAGAATACAAAATTTGTTGTTAATATCCCTAATCATGGATTGGTTGTATCCCTATAGAGATGTCTGTTTCTCTTCCGAACACTCAGTACCTATCGTAGTTATATATATAGCGGGCATAAACACTATGGTAACTTCAGGTAGAGAGTAATAGAGAGAGAATCTGAAGATTATCCGATTTTAATCTAAAAAGCATTTGTAACGTTACTTCTATTTTATATTCAGATGATGTTCCGACCTGAATAGAAGGAAAAAGTTGGACTCTAAGAGCACCAATGATGGACATTATCAAATTGTGGTTATTTTGTTGTTACTCACCAACAGTTTATATTGTGCATCAGCATCGAGTAAGACAGCAAGCTTAGAAAAAACTGATATTCATGTGATCGAAACTCAACATACATTTATGAGATACGTGGAAAGGAAAGCTATAATAACTAAATGATTATCATTGTAAGGATCAGTGAAATGACTGCAAAAATTTTAGATTTCCATTCTTGGGTGTCATTTTTGGACAGTACAGTCCAAA